TTATTTTATTTATTTACTAGTTGATTTATTTGTTTGTTTATTTATTTATTTATTTATAGTCATTTTAAGCATATTCTGCTGCCTTCTACTCCAATTTTGGTAATTATAAAAGTTTCGGTGATACCAAATTCATTCCTGATCTTCCTCAAGAGAAGCTGGAGAAACTCATCACCTCCAGTCAGTGTTACCGTGACAACAAGGAGAGGATCTCATTCCTCTGGTCCTCAGTGGCGGATGGGATGTTCTCACTCCACCCACCTGCTGTACGACAGTTAGCGTTCCCTCCTGATGTGAGTGGGTGTGGTTTGTGTTAATTAATAATCAATGAATATTTAATAGGGTATAACGACTTACTATTCGGGTAACTGTGGTAAAGAAGATGCTGAAATCATAAAAGAATTTATGTTGAATAAAGTAAGAGTGAGAGTTGAGTTATTTATACAAAATTGAAAGTGTACTATTCGTCTAGTGACACATTACGTGAATTGCGACTGTGTATAAAGTACATGATATTTTTCATGTTATTTTACATGTACAAGGCCATTGTGTTTATAGCTTGATTAGGTTCTTCTAATTATGACGCAGTTCACTAGGCAATAGGCATTTGAAGAAAACTCTGGATGTGCATTGTACAGATACACCTTGATTGCAATGTTGGATGTTTTGGGAAATCATCCTGTACAGTGTAAACTAGTAAATGTGTACATGTAGCTGTGAAAGCTGTAGTATCATTGAGATATTATTAGTGAAGTATATCATGTGTCTGCAACTCTGCATCCTACTAAGTCTTGCATTTTTGGCTATGCATCCTGTCCTGTACATATACCAGACATAGCTTCATTCATAATTGGATGGATAATTGGATAATTGGATTTAATGGTCATTGCACAAGCTAACAGAAAACATTTAAGCTCTGTATAATGGGAACAAATGAAGGGAGATGAGATAGCATACCATGTATGCTATGAGCATTAGTCCAAATACTCCTGCTACTATGCTATTATGCTACTATGCTACAGATGCTATCATTGTTATGATTTTATTAATAGGATTTGAGCCCATACAATACAAGATTGTTCAAGAATGAAGATGGGACCTATGAATTAAGATTAGCATCATCTCTTACTAATGGTTAGTGTATCAATATCATGATCATCCCTCACCTCATTTCCCATTTCTCTCTCTCTTCCTTTTCTTAACTCCTTCTC